AAATATGAGGTACAAGTTGGGGTTAATCGATTGGATTGGAAATTGGATAAAGTCGATATTACCGCGTGGCAGCGGGTTTGGGAGCATATATTTTTTCTTGTCCGAAAGAAAAAAGACAAGAAGCCAAATTTTTCCACAAAGCCATTCTTCACAACAGGCATGGCTTTGCAGGTATTACCTAGAATTGGGAAGACAGACATGGATAAGTCCCAAGACAAACTGTCAGCCCGGAAAGCAACAATTACAGTTGCAGATGTATTTTTTGTCGAGCAAAAAAGCAGCTGTTATCAGTTATATGAACATACAGTAACTACAAACCCGGCAAGAGAACACCATATGAAGAAAAAATTATTTTTGGTAAAAATACAACTGGCTGGGGATGGAATATTGAAAAGGGATTGCTACATAAAGCAATGGACAGAGAGAGGAAGTGAAAAAAAAAAAGACTGCCGAAGAGCCGCTCCAGTCGGGAACGCGCAACGACGGGCGAACAACAGAAAACATTTGTGATTACAGAACAAGCCGAAGAGCAGCAACATTGCACTATTACATTACGCAAAAATTATTATAAGAGAAGCAAGGTTCGTATAATGCACTTGGTTCAGCAGAAGTCTGCTTATGGTCGGGCATCTCAGCTGAACCGTTCCCAACGGAACAACGAGCGCACTCAGAGTCCCACGTAACAGTGACATTCCAGTGTTCAGACGTATCAATGTTCAAGGTGTAGGGCGATTAGTTAAGTAATCATCGAATATTCAGCAGCACTTTTCTATGCATGTTAATAGTTTATCCATATCCAGGATAAGGAGGGTGGAAGGAAGGTACGAGGTTTTAACATCCTTCTCTCCCTCCCGCACTGACAAAATGGCATATCATTTGTTCGGACACAGCTCTTCTTTGCTTAGAATTCAGGGATCCCGAACAATTTCTTGGTCTTTTAAACTAAGCATATTTTTTTAAAGTAAAAGTTCGAACCTAGGAAGTGATTCCCCGACTATATCGTCACCGGATCTCTGACAGTGAAGTGGCTCCATTGGCATGTTCTGAGAAATAAACAGACCACATAAAATACATTCGCAAATCCTGCAGAATGTAATTCTTCATTTTGTGGTCAAGTCAGTAAAGATTATCTGCTTGGGAATTTTCGAGGGAAATTACTACGCGCTTTTCTCGGCTTTTAGGGGAAGGAGCTGGGAAGAGCAGGCTTTTTCGGATATCACGTAATCCCAGCAAAATGATATACTTAGGGCGTTTATTCGTGCTACGCTGTCTTCTTTTATCTGCTGCACGCAATTTCGGTACGAGAGAATCGGTAGGCCAGAATCACTTTCCGAAAAGGTACGCAACAAAGCAGCTTCTCCACCGCGGACATGCAGCAGACTTGTTTAGGCATTTGCTTCATTACACCCCAAACAGGAATCACTTCAAAAACGGATAGGGAGTTAACATCCCCTCTCCTTTCCATTTGATTAAGCGCTTCTTGCAATAATGTATTTTAACTTCGTATAGGCTGAAAAAACATTCGTGTTTCAAGGAAGTGCATTACAGTCCGGAAAGCCACTCGACTATTCTTGAAAAGTTGTCAGTGGAGCTTCAAAAATGGCTCAAGTACCATTATACGAGTCAGAATTTGAGAACCTATTCGAGCACTATAAAAGAATGACAAAGATCACTGAACTGATAAGACATGAAACAGAAATGCAGCAAAAAAGGGAATTATAATGGCACAAGCACATGGACGTACGAGATCGGGAAGTAACCAGTTTTACCGCGTAATGAACCTTCGTACCAATTCTCGTCAATCTGTGAGATCAGTTCGATAACGTCGCCTTCTTTGAACTCTAATTCACCGTCGTTCTGCGCCTCGAAGTCGTACAATGCCCTACACGAGGGTTTACGAGCAGGAGGAGCCGATGGTGCTGTTGCCGATCCACCACCAAGGTTAGCTGCTGTTGAACCTTCAGGGGCCTTTGGCGCACTGGGTCCCCAGTCACCGCCATCTGTTGGCTTTTGTGGATACATCGAGGACGTTGACGGCGGTTGAAAGTTGGCATTATTGACAGATGCTGAGTTTTCGGAAGGTACCGGCGATCTGCAAAAAGCAGTTGCGCTTAGCAAGAATATACATCTGCCATTTCTAGCTTATTAATGTAATGTTTCTCACTCAATACTGAAGTGCAGCGACGGGATCCAGAAGATTTTAAAACGGCCAAAATAAACTCAGACTGCAACACATCAAGCTTGCCGGTGCGGTTATGCGTTTTCTTGGGCTAAAATTGTGGATTGCTACTGGCAGGAATAATTTTTACGGTGTAGCTTAACACTTGGATTTAAGCTGAATCATGGCCCTTTCACACATGCAAGAGGGAAAGGAGTCAGCTGAGATGAAGATGTTGCATTATGGAACCACATGAACTTCCAGCGTGCATGACTACCAGTTTTTGCATGCTTACTTACTAAAACCCAGGCTGGAACGCACCAGGCTCCCCGGTGCGATCATGCGTTTTTGCACTAAACTTGCAGAT